GGCCCAGTGGACCTGGCAAGGCCATCCTGTCACGCTGAGGCATGCTTCACCCCGGCGTCGATGGGCAAGGAGAGGGGCAGCGATCAAACCCTGGTGGGAGAGGTCGTTTTGAAGGTGCTTGCGATGGTTGAAAGGATGTTTGATGCTGTAAGTGGTGGGCGAGGTGGGCCATGCTATGCCCATCACTGGCAGTTTCCGGATGTTTCGCCGAGCCAGTTGCCCTGTCAACATGGCCTTTTGCCTCGCTTCTAGAGGCGCCCGTTGTCCAAAACAAGCACCATTGATGAGATATACGTTTCCTGGCACCATTGGTGCACTAAAAGCTCGAAACACTGATTGGTTTGCGGCCGCCCGCTTTGGAGACACCCAGATTCCTATATATATATAGTCTATAGTCATGTTGGAGTAGATAGAATGTGGAAAACAACAAAACATAACAACACCTGTTTTGGGATTGGTTCTATCTACTCCAGGATGGTTATACATCCGTGCACTGCAGGACATCATCCATGAGCAGTACCGCCAGAAGTTTTACGAGAACCGCCTGCAGACCGTTCAGAGCGTCGACTCACGCCGGCGCACAGTGCAGGCGATGCCCAGCGCACGCGGCTAAGCGATTCTTATTGTGGGGAGCTACTGTGGATGTGGCTGCAAATGCAAGGATATCAACCAGGACATTAATTTAGTGACTTAAACATGTTAGCATACATTTCATCCAATGGACAGAGGCGACACTGATGGATTTCTCCATAGATACAGCTGAACAGTTCATGGTGAATGGACAACGGTTATTGCATGAGCCACCTCCGCTTTCGTGGAACTATTTTTGCTGTACGTGCCTTCCATTTCGCCCAAGTGCGAAGACATGGATGCCGTGGCCGAGGGGTGTACGGCTGCTGGCCCTCGCTAGTGCCTTGTTGGTGTTTTGAAGGGTGCCAGTGCTGCTGTGGGAGAGCAAGTAGCAACAAGCTGAGAGCTGGAGTTAAAGAGCTTGCCCCCAAGACACGATGGACCAAGCGCGTGCGATGCCAACTAATTTGTTCCATGCGCGTTATATCACTAGGAGAGAGATTTCGGGATTCCCGAAATCCTGGACGAGCAGCCTCACTCCTTCTTGCCTTTGGGCAATGACTTTAGTGGTCATAGAGATCCGGGATCCATCCATGGGAGAGCGAAGCAGTGAAGGGTGCTGGACCAAGCTGTTTCCGACCAAAACCTCTCCATGGCTTGTTTGATGTGAACCCCCCGCTTTGTCAGCGCAATACGCTTGTTCTCATTTGGCTTCATCTAGCTGCAGCTGAGAGCAGTCCTGAGTGTTGCAAGCCCGTAGGTGCAGGGATTCGGAAGCCGATGGATCGCGTCAGCTGCTCCGACTTTGCTTCGGCACGTCGAACCGAGAACCGCCAGCCGTCACCTCCCTGCCATCGTTAGTGACCATGTGCATCCGACCGGGTCGCAAGAAGGGGGGGCCCTTTGGTCAGGCTGCTACAACCACTCAAAAGCAATATGAAAGGACAAGTTAGGAAACATGCATTCATATGCGTCTGGCGTGTTGTACTTCCTTATACTTCCTTTAATTTCATGGCCCGAACCATGGCGACCCGGTGGGTCCGCGGCGCTCGGCCAAGCCGAAACGAGAGCCCAAAAAGAGAGCCCAAAGCGGAACGTGAACGTGAACGGTTTCACCGAAGGAACTGGGCCAGGACCGGGACGCTTTGGACGACTTGGCCAGCGAAGATCTGAACAAGTCGTGTTCCCTTGATAGGGCCGTGGCTCAAACAGCATCTCTCTCCAGATCTTGGTCCAAGAGCGCCACTTGGATGAATTGAGGGCGAATGAGGGTTTTAAAACTGCAGGTGTGAGCAAAACTTTGAAACACCAACCCTGCAGAATTCGTGCAGGCTTTCCAACAGCGTCGCAGGCTACCATTTTCTCGTGCCGAGGATGCAGATTGCCGCTGCACCCGCCCACTTGGCGCAACCCAGACACCTGGCAACGCCTCCGGCTCCCAACGCAGTGCGTGCCGCGCACCATCCTGGTCTGGCACGTGCGGGTGCGCTGAGTGCTGCGGGGGTGTTCTTCTCCGCTCTATCGCGGCGAAGAAAGCTTGCAGCGCGGCGGGCGGAAGGGGAGCAGGTGGTAACACCTTGGGAAGTGGAAGCTGGTGAAGATGGAGTGGACTATGTGGCTTGGCTCTGTATGGAGCAGGCTTTTTAGTTGTCTTTTGCCAGCACAACGGTTGATTGGAGATGTTTGGGGGTTGTACTTGTACTCTTATATATACGTAGTCCATTCACTTCTCATTCTATTGGGTATGCAGGGGGTTCTGCTGGGCTTTGGGAGGGTTTCTGGCAACCGGTAGAGGCCTAGCCGCCCAAATCTTGCCCAAAGTCGAGGGGTCGCCTTCTTCATGGTTCTCCCATGCAGTGACGCCCTCGCCCAGTCATTCTGTAGATAGATTATGATAGATGATGGCCATCTTTTGGGTACAACATTGCATGGTACTGCGATGTACGGCGCCAGTCAGCCAATACGGTATAACAGTGGCATGATTGTCTCGATATTTTCTTAAACGTATTTCAGGTGATGGATCGATGAAACTACGATGGACTCCTGACATTAATTCAGTCCTAATCGACCAAGACTCCTGACATGATCACCACCTTTCGGCAGTGGTGGGTGAAACGCTCCCATAGCGCATCTTTGGGGGTGTTTTCTGTGTGCAGATTGTGAGGATAAGCTGATCGAGACCTTTGGTTGTCAGCCAATCACCTCAGAGCAGATCGAGCGTATCGAACGCCTCACGGGCAAGCGCCCGCATCGCTTCCTGAGACGAGGGCTCTTTTTCTCCCACAGAGATCTGGATGAGCTGTCCCTGGGAACGCAAAGAAAAGCAACGTTTTGGACCATCCTTTAGGGTCATCAATTCACTCCCGCGTTACGCTTCGTCTGCCCAAATGAGGTCTTACGGACCTCATTTGAGATCCGGTCATGCAAAACCAGTGTGAGCAATTACTCAATGAAGTCAAGGACCAGATTTAACTTGGCCCTTGGACTTGTAGGGCATGCGGTACTACAGGGCCCCTTAGATGGTAAAGGTATTTGCGTGTTTCTTAAGAAAGTGCTGATCCGTTCTAGTCTGCGGTCCTGGAAGCTTGTTGAGATGCCATCAGTCACAGAAACTTAGCATTTGCAGTGGTGGGATGTTTGACATTCTTGCGCGCACCAGCCGCCGCTGCAAGGTTGAATGCCTATGAGACGCTTTGGATGACATCAGACAGTTTTGTATAGTTTTGTGGTCAAGACCTGGTTTTGGATGTTGGTGCTTTTGTGAGTGATTCAGCGTCAGGAAGGGAGAAGCCTTTTACATTTACACAGGTCGAGGTGTCTCATTTGCAAGAAGCGAGCCTGGCGGCCGGTCGGTGGTTCAAAACCCATGATCTCTGCTTGCAGCATGCTAGCTTGTTGGGGAGATTGACCCAATGCCCACGGCACTATTGATTCGATGCCAGGAATGGATGTCAGTCCAAACCACTTTTGTCTTCAAGTTCGTCCTCAAGACTCATGGCCGATCTGCCTAGAGTGGGTACTCGAACAGCATATACCACCCAAACAGGTGAACGGAATCAGTGGTGGGATTTCCTAGAGTCATCTCAAACTAGTGCATAGGAAAAGAGAAATCCTATGACTTGGGGAGCAGCTCATGGGTTCTTATCGAACTGCACTGCTGAACTCAGCAAGTCCTGACAGGATGAGACCACACTGCGCACCACGTTCATCCCTCGTCTCATCCACCGCCTTCGGGCCCGCCCCCGGAACGGTGGGGCCCCGGACGACGTGGACCCCGCGGGGGTCCGCGGACGTGACGGAGCTGCGGTCAGGTCCCTCGTCCGAGTCCCTTCACTTGGGGCATTTGGTGCCTTTCCTTTTCACCAAGTGGTTGCAGGAGACAGCGGATGACAGCGCATGAGAGGTTGCGAGGCTGAGAGGTCGTAGAACTCGGGATGGATGGAATGATGACGCTGCGATGCTGAGTCGAACATGAGGGGTTTGAGATGGTTTGATGATCGGCCATGAGTGGTTGGAAGAGAGGTTTTCGAGCGGAAAAAGGATGAAAGAGGTGGTGACTTCCCAGGATGAGGTTTCAAAGTGAACCCTTTTCAATCCTTTTCACATGTCTTGGACTTTATTTTTGGGATTTGCTGCTTTCTGGGGCATTTGCGGGCCCATTCCAAGAATCTCCAATTTCTATGATGCCTTTGGGATTGGTTCTCCTTGGTTTACGGCAAGCTGCTACTGAAACGATGAGACAACAATGCAAGAGCAGTTTGAATGCAGGTTTGAAACCAGTTCTGCTGAACCGTCAGGCCAGAGCTTCAAGACAAGTAATTGTGTGTGAGAGAAGCCAAGACAAGCACCCGCCACCTTTCTCTACCAACGGAAGTCATGGCTCTTCCTGACATCAGCCACTCCATAGGAGGCCTTTGACGTTCCCTTGGTGATTGAGCTCACTGATGACGAGAAATTCTTATTCAAGCGCCCTGTTGGAAGGGTGATGGGCTCTGGAATCGCACCGGCTGAACACTTGCAGGCTTGAGTCGATTGATGATATGCCCAAGCTGCCCAAGCAACAAGCCTTCCAGTCGTGTACAAGGTGTTTGTTTCACACATGTTGTTGACCCTAAGGATGTTCGACATCGATGTGACCTCCAGAAGATAGTTTCAAACTATTTCCAGAAGATAGTTTCCCCTGCTCGTCTTGTGCTCAATCATCCACCTGCCACTTGGTCCACTAGGTCAGGACCGACGCCGCGTTCTTCCAAGGAAAGACTTGACCATTGAAGAGTCCAGGCGTTTGGCATGGGAGAACGCCAAAGACGCTCGGCCCAGCTTTAAGCTTTATGAACATCACGACCTTACGATCCACGACAGGGTGTTTGGGACAAGATCCTTTTTCATGATGCAGTTGATGCACCTGATTAGCTGTGACATCATTAGCATTTCTTACTGAAGCTTGAAAGGGATTGGTTCTTTGTTGGGATGTTTTGTGTTTGCCAAATCAAATATTTTTTGTTTGCAGATCGCAGTCCCACCCATGTCTGGACCAGACCACGTTTACACTAACAGTTGTTTTTGCTCGCCCTGGATGCTTTCTTTCCAGCAAGAAACGGCTTGCGAGTTGGTACACTTCTCGTTTTGTGCGTTTCATCCCTTTTGGATCTGCAGTTTTGATTAAAATTCTCATGCCATGGGTCGTTGATGGGACCTCTTCCTTGGACATCTGCCAAATGGCTTGATGAAAGGACATCATCGCCTGCGGCTTTGATCCAAAGAAGACCTTCATCTTCCGGGACAGCGACTACATCCAGCAGCTTTATCCGGTGACGCTGCAGATCCAGAAGCGGATTTCGCTCAGGAGATCGCGGGAAGCTGTTGGAAGTGCCTATTGGAGAATGACCGGTTCTTGACTGAGCGGACTATTTTGATGGACTTCGTGCCAGGAGTCTGTGTTTGTTGTTTGGTTTGTTGGTGGTGGTGTCTATCGGAAGCTGAAAATCCGCACCCAGCCGGAAGTACTTGCAGCACGTAATTAGTGCAGAAATCTATGTGTTGGTCCACCTTTGGATATGTACCGAGCGAGGGTGTTGCTCAAAGAAAGTCCAGCAATGAAGTTCAGTGGTATCCTCAAGAGGGGCACCTTCCTCTATGATGCCTGCACGGAACGGTCAATTGATCGGCATTTGTTTGTTCTCAGCTAATGGAGCAGATCATCCACCACAATCCACGCGGTTTACCCTCGCTTTCAGGATATCCAGTGGTGCGAAGCTCGCACTTAGGCAGTTTCACGGCTTCCCATCGTATATGAAGGCGGTGTGTTCTATTGACTTTGGGGGGGTGCTAGAGTGCTTTTGAGTCGGCTTGAGGACTGCTCAAAATACCTTTGGCTTTGATCCAGCTGCTGCCCGGCTGTATGGGGGTGGGGGCGCGAGGGCACCAGATGCTCTTCAGACAGGTGCACTTGTGGCCAAGGTTGCGCACAAAGAATCTGCTTTATTTTGATAAATCAAGCAAGACAACATCAAAAGACAAGTGAAATCGTTATAAGGTGAAATCGTTAGTCCAGTAGTTCCGTTGCATCGTTGCATGTTCAAGTCTCTGGAGCACTCCTACTTGATGTGCACCGCCCTTCTCAACGCGAATCAAGAAACTCCTCAGCACGTTCAGAACGTGACACGATTCTGAGGTGTTTTCTCGAACCGGGAACCCCGGTTTCCACGTGGAGCATGAGCATCGCGGTCTCCACGCGTCGTGGAAAACGACGTGCGTGTCAACGATGTCTCCTGTCAGGACAACATCGGGAAGGTGGCCTTTGCCGCCGTGCAGGCGTCGCCCGCTTTCTCCATTGCCTTTCCGGACTTCTTAGAGCCAGGCCACTGCGGAGGGGGCGGAGGGGGCGGATGGGTGGAGTTCTTTTTCCTCCGAGGCGAACAGCTGAAGCAGCTACTGGATACATCATGATACTTCTAGATACCCCAATCATCCCCAATCCCAATGGTACTTGTATTGCAGAGGAGGGCAATTTTTCACACTTGTGGGTTTTATAGGGGTCATATATTGGGTTTGGGACAACCACTTTCGATCCCCCCGATGTAGGCAGTCTTTTTGGGTAAACTTCCACATGGTAGGCCAAGAAAAGCAGTGGGGTAGGTTAGACGGATGAACAGGACAGTGTTCGCAGCTAAGGGTTTGGGGAGACGGGCCAGGAGTGGGAGGCAAGAGCCCGAGATGCGCAGCTTGAAAGACGCTGTAGGCCCCGGGCAACTCGCAGCTCCTAAAGTGAGGAAATCATGACTACATTCCCTGTGCTTGTTAGCAGGACTGATGATCGAACCCGATCAGTTAGTTTGAAACAATCAGCTGCACATGACCCTCCTTGGTTTCTCCTTTTCTACAGGCGCCCTGGGACCCCGGGGGCCTCATCCCCACAGTCTCTGCCGCTCTTCGGGCCTCCACGAGTGGAGCACCTGAGCCCGGGTTGAGCACCTCAGCGGTTGCACGCCGTTGCAGGCCGCCGCTGCTTCGTGCCGCAGGCCATTGACCAGGACCCCTACTTCCGGCTTTGCCGCCGGGTAGCTGAGGACTGGCTTTTGGACGGCAGCGGTGCAGTGGACGTGGAGATGCACAAGTCAAAATGAATCAAACCCAACACACACCAACCTACATAGTCTACAAGAATCAGGTAAAGTCAAGCAACGTCATTTATGTAGACCAATTGAATATTCGGTTCGGAGCTTATTATATGGGGAACATCCTGGTTTCACTCTTTTGCTACTCCTTCATTCCTTCGTGGCTCGTCTTTTGTGGGCACAAGTCAGCAGGGAGAGATCTTCCCTGACAACGGGAGGACCTCAAGTGGCCGAAGCCTGCCTGTATCCACTCCAAGTTCCTGCCGGCCTTGCAAGGCCCAGCCGGCTTCGATGCTGTGGTCACAGATCATGATCTCGGAATCGATTTGAGAACTCCCTTCGATGTCATGGACAGAATCATCGAATCTCTTCATTCATGTGGACACTGCATCAAGATGGAACTTTGTTTCAACATGTTCTCTGCGCATGGAAGGCACAGCATCGCAAAAGATGCAACCATGTCCTCTGATTGCATATGATCACGTCAGATTGCAAAGGCCTTTGATCAAAACGTGGGTTTCACCAGGTCATCAAACCAAGATGTCGGCCTCTGTGGCCTCCACGGCCTTGTACATGACCGATACGGAGAAGCTGCTTGGTGCCAAAGCCAGTTTCTGGTGTCCATGATGTCTTGATATCTGACTTTTTGATTCACAGTGTATTTCTTTACATGTGAACTGTGAACAATTCAAGACGTCCTAGAAAAAGGTTCTGAGCAGTGGTGCTTGCTGCCTAAGGAAACTCAGGAAGAAGATCAACAAGCACGCCTTCTCTGGGGGCGGGAAGACCGAGGAGGAACAGCGAGAGCATGGGGCAAATCTGGACGTGGACGTCTCTTACCAGTGACTTCATTTGAACATCGCGCACTGGATTGTTGGGGGGGGCTTGCAGGGAATTGCGCCTGCAACATCTAGTCCTACTACTACTGCAACTGCTGCTGCTGCTGCTACTACTGCTGCTGCTGCTGCTGCTACTGCTACGACTGCTAGTGCGACTACAACTACAACTAGTACTGCCTGCTGCGTACAAACTACTACCTCCTAACTACTAACTACTAACTAACTGCTACTCACTATTACTACCACTACAGTCATCTAAGCCACATGAGGGTATACAGACGCCCTCCCCAAACGCTGGGTCTCAGCTCCAGGTATTTGAAGATTTGGCTTGAGGATGATGAGGACGGCGGAAACTGACTGAAGGTATGTCCGAGTTGGCGGTGGTGCCCCAAGTGGTGGTCTTTCACTAGGACGCTGGCGGGATCCAGGAGGTATCCAGTTCTTCCTTTTCACCCAGGAGGTATCCTGTTTAGAGCGACTTCCCGTTCATCATCGAGTTCGTGGTGCACTGTTATTCTTTGGATCGTGGTCAGCTCAGCCGCTGACGTTCAACAGGAGCTGGAGCGGATTGGTGAGGACTACGCTGCAGGGAAGCTGCTCACGGGTGAGGTGAAGAAGCGTTTGGGCGATGTGGTCTCCGAGATCGTGCGAGAACACCAAGAGGCGGACAGGGTGGGATAGGATCGGATGGGTATGATGCGAGCTCTAAGAAACTGGGACAGCTTCTTGACATGCTCATCAGTCCCTGTGACTGTTGTAAGTACTTTCGGGTCCCGGTGCCACACCCCATCATTATGGCCATTTGGTGCCCCTTTTCAAGCATCCTTCACCTGACCTGGATATTGAGGTCTCACTGGCTTGGATCTACTGGATGTTTGATTTGGATATGGAAGCAAGCCTCCTAAGGACAGCGACGTGCTTTTCTTTGGCACAGAGCTCGAGATAAACGAGAGCTTCTTCCTCCAGGAAGCGGTAGGCGGTAGGCAGGTTAACCTTAACACAATATCAGTAAAAATCGTTCCGCCTAGGGGGCATGTTTCAGATTTGATCGTTGATCGATCTAGAGGTAGGATGGCGAACTCATCGGGAAAAGGGAAGCCATCTCATGTTTCAACTGTTTGTTGAAACACCAATCTGAGCTGCCCAGGGCACTGGACCGGAACCTCAGAGCCCATAGACTCCATATAGACTAGACCGTTTACGACCTTGGAAGAGTGGACGACCGAACTTCCGACGGTTGGGCAGCCGCACCTCTCAGTGTCCAGGCCCGAGCGCGAATCGAGGATGCCACCGTAGAGAGGTTCATGGACCCTGCCCGGGAGGTCTGGGTTCCTCGGTGTTTGGGTGGAGGCGTCAGGGGGGGGGAATCACCGGACAGAGTGACTGGTGACGGCTTCTGGCGATTCCCAAGCAGGGCTGTTAGAGGTTTAGGCTATAGGTTGAGCATCTCCTGGGAAGGAACAGACATCTAAGGTCCAACATCCGTATGGGCCAGAAAAAATGTTGGCGTGCGCCTCGGGCGGTTTCGGGCGTGTGTCTGTGGTGTCAAAGGTCCCCATCCGGCCCAGTTGGGGGATGCTGGATGCCCCCAGCCCCCAAACATTCTGCTTCCTAGACTTTGTGTCTTTTCTCTATCTTCCTAGACTTGAGGTGATTTTGTGGATTTTTGCATGTGTTTTAGCATATTTTTCTCCGGTGCTGGTTGTGGACACTGGCTCACCTGTTTATTCTTTAGCTCTCATGTCCTCATTCCGGCTGAAAAAGTGATCCGTGGCAGGAGCTTCGAAGCTCCTTTGCCAAAAAGCTGGCCACTGAGGCTGCGTAGGTCACGGGGTGGAATCCCGCCCAGGGACTCAGATGTGGCCAACCGCAGAACTCCAGATGAGGAAGAGTTCTGTGAATCGCAGTGAGCTGGGAGCTGGAGTTCTTGGGTTCGACTCCTGTTTTCAGCTCCCAAGTGGTTGAAAGCAGTATGTGCCGGGTCTTACTTGTCCAGGTTGCATCAGCGAACTTATCAGTGGTTGGCCACCGGATTTTCGAATCACGCGATTTCTGTGAAGAGCGAGCCGCAAGCCGGCAGCTCGCACGTCTGGGGCGCTCCCAGGGTATTTCGCGCATCAAGAGGATGCCAATCTTCAGCGTGCTGTATGCTGCAATCAAGGCCAAAACAGCATCCGCTGCGAAACTTGACCTTACTGTAAACAATTGCAAGGGAGTGGATACTTTCAGACCTCATGTGCAAGCCGGCCATAGCCTGCCTACGTCCCATCAGCACTGCAAGCTCTCATGCAGGATCTCCCTCAGTCGGCAGTTGAAGCACTCCCCGTTTCAGAGGGAAGGCGGGCACTTTTGACGGGTTCGAAGCCGCAAGAACGCAAGAACGCACCCTACTGTTGACAGAAGATATGATGGGTTTATTTTGCAGAGAATCCAAGGTCCTTAAGTGCCCCCCTCCCAGACACGGCGACCAGCAGGTTGGCCATGGTGGGTTTGCCGAGTTTGAGTGGAGCCCAATTCATCATACGTTGCAGTGCCTGAGGATGTAATTCCAGCTTTCGAGATTGGAACCGAGGCAGTGAACTGGCCCCTGTTGGTTTGCCATCGATCTCAGCTATTATTAAATAGATAGAGAAAATGGACTTAATTGCAGATTATTAGCAATTGTATTCAAATATTAGACAATAGAAATATATATATTCACACACACACATGATTGACCTCTGTTGAACCATGCCTTGAGGCACATTTGCTGTGGGGCCGGTCAGTTCTCCCTCGCTCCCGAGGAGCCTCGTTGGAGGGTCTTGCCACCTGCCATTGCCAGGTGTGAAGCTCAGCTTTTGGGTGTTTGATCTCTTTCTACATCGATCCTTCTATATAGAGGTGGTTTGAGGTAGGGCAATCTTCGCAACTCTGCAAAAAGGAATGGCCGGAGCCGGAGCCCCCCAAAGAGGGTCTCCCTTTTGGCGGGTGGTCTCTGAGGGGTGATTCATGTACAGCCTGGGCTCAGCGCGGAGGGTTCTTGGGAAACATATTTTGGACGGTTTTTGGTGCCCTGCCTGGATTTAAGAAGGCTGTCTGTTCCTGATGAGGGTAATAAATCAATCCTGAAGTAACAAGCCGAAGCCGAGCCTGCTGCTTTGTGGTGAATGGGCATCACCATTTTTTTAAACCAGGCATGCTGCAAGGTGAGGGGGATTTGACGGTTGCACCGTGGCTCGGATGGTTGCACGGCATACCTGGCTCGAACAGATGTCCGCACTTCGGAGTCGATGGACATCCGCAGGACCATGTCGGGTTCTTCTGCCAACCGTGAGATATTGTAGCCAGGTATATATACTGTACATATAAGAACGACTTCAAGTGACAGGCGATAAGATCATTTTTTGGCTTCAGTGGTCGGCTGAGTCGCCTCCAAGTTTCAAGAGACTGGCTCCACAGATCTGTGGTGGGAGGATCCAAGGTCTGTGGCTCCCCCGAGTTGCGCCGTTTGCTTCGCGCATCGTTCGCCATGGAAGATTCCGATGTGCCCCCGCTGAACCTTCCCGAAGAAGAGGCGAGATGGGAGAGAGACAGGGATGAGACCTGGAAGGGATCAGGAAGGGTATTTACCCCTAGGAAAGCTGTAAGTCAAGTACAGGAGTCCCCCAAATAGATGAAAACGGTTTCCAATACAGTAGCAGTAGATTTTTCGTGGGAATTTACCTTTTCTATCTATTTGAGGACTATACGAGATAACTAGTAGAGATCACGTGCTTGTTGGGCCCCGCCCGGCAGGATTGGGGTAGCTGAGCTAAGTTCTAGACTCTAAGAGGAGACAAACGCACCCCATCGTGGTGAGGTAGTCGCTTCGGAACGCAGAAAAACGATCGCTTCGGAACGCGGCAATGTGATCGCTTCGGAACGCGTGTCATCGCTAGTAGGTTGGAAGCCATCGCTACTACTATGGAGGCCATCGCTAGTAGATTGGAGGCCACCGTAACCACTAGCAATGAATGAAGGATGCAGAGCATTTGTGTTACATGGTACTGTGGAAGCAATTAGCAAACAGAGATCATCATGTAGATTAATATCCAAAGGGACGTTATTAACACCCTCCCACAACCCCACCCACCCCCACTCCCCCACCCCACCATCCCAACCCAACAACATCAATCAAACGCAGAGCATCTGTGTTACATGGTACAGTGGAAGCAATTAGCAAAAAGAGATCATCATGTAGATGAATGTCCAGACAGACGCTATTAACACCCCCCCCCCCCCCCCCCCCCC